TAGGAACAGGAAGAAATATGAGGTGCATCAGCTAAGACATTTTCTGTCCCTCTCTTTTGGTTAATTTCCAAATTCAAGTCCTGCACTAGCAATGACCAACTCACAGGTATCTGACTGGAGTTTTGCATTTGGGCCAAAAACCTTTTTTCAGTAGTGCTGTATTCACTTGGTGCTTACTGAACTTTTTAGAGAAATAACAAATAGCTTGCTTATCCTCCTGCAGCAACACCACACCAGCACCACTGCCATCCACCTCCAGCCTGAAGGGACACACAAAGTCAGGAGCCTCAAGGGGAAGAGCTGTAGACAAGAGCTTTGGCAGCCTTAAAGACGTTCTGACATGCAGGTGCCCAGACAAAAAGTGTAGTAACACTGGTCAAACTGGTCATAAAGACTGTGTACACGCTGCACACAGTGGAGACAGACACAATTTTTGCTACACTGTGATAAATATGTAGAAATTTGAGCTTTATCTTCCCTTCAAATTCTACACAAATATCCAGAATTTGAATCACAACCAGAAAAACAGTAACTATTAGGTGAAAGACAAAATTGCTGTACATTGGCAGGTAAATGTTTGAGCTCTTGCCACAACCTGAGGGACATCTTTGGTTTTCCTGTTTGAAAACCAAAAAAACTTTTTGTGTTTTCTGTTTTAAAACAAGAAGAGAAAAACAAAGGAAAATGTGTTTTTCAACAGATTTTTGTTTTGAGTGATACTTTGTGCTGCCCCTCTCTGGGTGTCTGTAGGACTGCTGGGCTGCCCCTCCACAAACTCTATGATAGGATGTGTCTGATTTTTGCAATATTACTTAAGTGAAAAAAGGCAGTCCTAGAGGTTTGCTTTATGTGGGAGTTAAAGGACATATCCTGATCAAAGATAACTCCAAGATTCCTGACGGTGGTGCTGGAGGCCAAGGTAATACCATCTAGAGTAACTATATCTTAAGACAGTGAGTCTCTAAGTTAATGGAGTGATTCCTAATAATGTTGCCTAAGACCCAACAATTCCCACCACAAAGCAAGCACTTTGCGTCGGCGGCAAGGAAAATCTTCCTGTTAAAAGGCAGAAACCTAGGACAGACCCCGGCTCTAGGTGGGTGGTCATCTGCCTCGAACAGTTGGGGTGAGAGAGAGAGCAACCATGAGCAAGCATTCACTGGGGGAAGAGAGAAGGGGACAACACACAGCAAAGGGCCACAGGTTGGAGTTGAACCCATGGCCACTGCAACCAAAAATCTAGTCAATGAAGTCAGTGAGAAAAATGTTATCTTAAAAAATAGGAATGATGCCCAAAGCTAGAAAAATAAAAAAACAGATACTCAACTCTGACATAATGCACTGCAGCAATTTAACAGTTCTTTAAATGTTACAGTTCAACAGTTGTGTCTTTCAAAGACGGCTTAATTTTGGGAAATATTTGAACATCCTACTTGGGGTTTGTTGACAGTGAGAAAGACGAGGATGAGGGAGTTCCCAGTGAAACAGAAGAAGACAGAAGACAGCAGGACAACAGAGCAAAGGAGATCCGAGGTGAGCACCCACATATCTTACTATATTGTATCATATTGTGTTCTGTCCTTGCATTAATTTAATGGTATATGAAAACATTGATACACTTCAGTGTCATAATGTTTTTTGTGATATTGTATATTTTTTTATATTTATGACTATTGATTTTAGCTGCTAGATAGCAGTGGTGTAAATGTAAACTGAGTGCTATGATGATATATGTTACAAATGCAGATCCCACTATTCTAATTGCATAAAGAAAGTTAACTTTTTTTACTCATTATTTTCATGCATATGGAAGTATGTTTTTTATACTATGACAGTTTTTCTAAAATCAATAGTTTTTTAATCGCAATATATCACTTGGCCTACACTATTACAATGTACAGTATCGCCATATATTTAATCATAATGATGCATATCGTATTGCCAGATTCTTCCCAATACACAGCACTATCAGTCATACATGAATTTGTGTTTTACTCCAGAGCTTCTACGAAGGAAAGATGAGCAAATCATCTCTTTATTGGAGGAGAAGGTCCACATCTTTAGAGACCTGAGTGACTATGATCCTGCCCTCAATGATACAAACCCACCAGTCAGGGAGCGGATGTTATTCAGGGCCACACCTGATGATGTCACAAAGGGGGAGCCAATCATAAAGGATGCCCTGAGGGAAAGTGAGCAGGGTTTTGAGGTTATGTCATACTCTGTGTGTCCAAGAGATCAAATGAGTATAATAATTTTTTCCATCTCTCTCTTCTTAGTGGAGACCTTGCATGCTTTAGTAAGCAGTTGTGTTGGTGGAGCAGGTTGCAGTGTTCCAGTTGGCCTTGCAGGGGGCAGTGTGGGACCAGTCTCTCTGCCCAGGAGAGCTGAGACTTTTGGAGGGTTTGACAGTCATCAGATGAACAGCAGCAAGAGTAAGACACATACCAGTCATGCACAGGGATACACGCGTAGATTATTAAACACACATTTAAACTAAAAGGCTTCAGCAGTTACCTAAGTGTCATTTTATTTTGTTGATTCGCCTGACAGCAGGTGTAGTACAGTCAGGTTTGATTCATCACTGGCTAACCTTGTTTCATTTTCCTTTGAGGAATGATTTTATCTTGACAATATGGCAGCAGGTTTATCCCATATGTTAGCTAATGATTACCTGCTGTGATAAAAACTCCTCTTTTGTTCTCTATCCTCAGATGGAGAGAAGGAAGAGGGAGATGAATTACTGGACCTCCGAAGGACTGAGTCAGACAGTGTGTTGAAGAAGGTGTGTGTGTGTGTGTTTGTTTTTGTGTATCCACAATGTATTATTCCCAGATCTCTTTTGAAAAATCTATCTCAGTCTTACTTAGTGTACCTGATAAATAACTATAACGAAATGACTGATCATGATGACGACAACAGCCACAACGATGGGGGACGATGGACATTAATAATAATAATTAAATTTATAATAATCTTATTAATAATAATAATTATAATATCAGTAATATTAGATAAGTGCCATATTCACCCTTTCACACACATTAACACAGTGATGGCAAAGTCCATCTAACAGAAATTCATACACATTCACACACCAAATGTACAGCATCTCAGTAATCTTGCTGAAGGATACTTCGACCTGGTGACCCATGTACTGAGGCTGAGTCCCTGCTGCAGTGGCCCATGGCTTGAATCCGACCTGCGGCCCTTTGCAGCGTGTTTTGTGACATATTCATGTTCCCTAGAGCATGAACATTAATGACTGTGGTGCTCCATAGGGCTCCACAGATTGCGACCATCATAAACATTTTACCTGCTAAACATCAGCGTGGTAGCATTGTTAGTATGAGCACGTTAGAATTTTCTTATTAGAATTTTGCTGGTTTGGAAATCCCTTTCAAATAGTTAAAATGAAGCCATGTTCCTAATTCCACTCACTAGTAGAAATGTATTAAAGAGGATGGTGGAAGTTTTCTTATAGCCGCTATTACCATGAGAAGAAGTGCAGCTTAGTGTGGCTAATATGAAAGCAGTGTTTTAGCTATGTCAGTGTTATTAAAATAAACTATGCTGTTGAATTGTTATGTTGGTCTTGTATAAAGTGAACTACATGCTTACATACCAGTGTTCATTATTAGTGGATGACTTCCAGCAATACTGTCAAAGCTTCTAGCGCAGATGTCATTGCCAATACCACTGAAAGTGCCAGCAGCAGACAAAGATGACATAACAATGTATCATTTTGTGTGTGTGTGTGTGTGTGTACGTGCGCACCTCAGGGAGCCACTGCCAGCCTTCAGATGCTACTGAAAAGAAACAGTGAGGTAAGTATGTGGGCTTCTTGTTACAGCCCTGCCCAACCCACTGCCCTGTTTATAACAGTCACTGCATAGTTAATTGAGTCACCACCACTAAACTTCCTTATTAGTTGTAAAGTTTGAGTTACAATAGTTTGCAAGAGTGCGAGTATAAACGCAACACACAGACTGCAAAGGGGGACTAGTGAGTAGATAGGGCTCTGTGTTTTAACATCACCGACAACCTATGTTGTCTCATTTAGCCACTAGTTAGAAACCACCTTTTCTAAGACACATAAAAGCTTCAACATTCCCAGGTGGGGTATACAATGACATATTTTAAAAATCTTTTAAGCTTGTGTTAACCACAGACCCTATTTCAGGTATCTAACCAAAAATCTGAAGGCTTGTTTACCCAAATTACAAAAGAAAAATAAACATATTTTCCCACTTACAAAAATACACATCCTCATTAAAGAAATATATTATTCTTAGAACATTATACTGAAAAGTGTTTTTCTTGGTTTAATTCCAGTCTACCATCTGGAGTCTTTTATGTTGGTTGCCCCTAACTGTCTGACTTTTTTTGCACTGTAACTGTCTTTATAATCTTAAATGACTATGCTGCAATTTCTAGCATTGCTACAGTTAAGTTTTATTATTTTGATCTACTGTGTCCAATATTTGACATACATTACCCAACAGGCATTGTCACATGAGTACAAATCTGTAAATTAATATTATGTGAGAATGAAAGTAGAGATGACACAGTTACTGGTATAATTCTTTGGAGAAATGGACTAAAATATATTTCTTTCATAAGATCTGACTGTGATATAATATCATGCCTACATCAAATAGTTTCTGGGTCTTAAAATAGTTTTAACTGTTATTACTGAAACCTAAATGTTATTTAATGCTGCGTTTCTCCAGCAGGTCCAAAACAGTGTGACAAATCTTCACGACCTGCTGATTTCACTGCAGGTACCAGAAACACACATACAGTTCCTCTCCAGTAAAAAGATGTCTGTATTTAACTTTCAATTTTGTTCTAAAACCATCTTCTCCCGCCTCTAGGCTGTGGTGGTCCAGCAGGACTCGTTCGTCGAGGACCAGCGGCAGGCCCTGAGCGACCGGCTCACCGCAAACTCCTCCAGACATTCATCCTCTTCCTCACTTTCTTCCTCTTCTTCCTCCCGCCCCTCCTCCCTCATCGAGCAGGAGAAACACAGGAGTCTGGAGAGACAGCGACAGGAGGCAGCCAGCCTGCAGGTTCACTTTCACTGCTGCTTCCTTTTCACTAAATGAATCATGGCTGCAGTGAAATTAGATTTGCATTATATTTATCTTTAGGATTATCTGTACTTTACGTTTTTTTTAATCAATTTAATATAATTTTCCGCGCCCAACCCCAGACTTCACTCAATATAACATCTACATACCTTTGTGGTTTGTTTCAGAAACAGCTGGCTGCACATCAGGAAGAAAAGAGGAGGAGAGAGAAGGTATGGGAGTTGAAAGAGAAAGGACTGGCAGAGCGGGAGGAGAGGCTGAGGGTGGAGGAGGAGGAGACCAGGAGGAGGGGTCAGGAGCTGATGGAGGAGAGAGACACCCTGCAGAGGAAGAAAGAGGAGTACCAGAGAGACCTGGAAAAGCTGAGGGAGGCTCAGAGGAGACTGGAGAGAGACAATGAGGCTCTGAGGAGAGACACAGAGAGACTGGAGGCTATGAAGAGAGATGAGGTCAGAGTCCATTTATGATGCGGCAGGCTAATGAAGCTATGAATATAAACTGGGCTCAGAATGAGCCTATTTCTGTAATCAAAGCCAAGGTACAACATGAATCATTTGTTCTTTTTTTATATTCAATCTAGAAAACCATTATTTTTGTTATTCATTCATGAATCCAACACAAAAAACTTATACTGGCTTCTTTTTCGTGCCCTCTATTCAATGCACACGTCACAAATTTCTGCCAATAGATCCTCTCCTTAATGTTATCCACTGGACTTTTACCACGCCCGTAGCTGCCAGTAGTTTCTCATAGGATGCTGGTTGTTGCGGATAGCAAGTGCATTGCTTGAACCCTGGCAAGATGGATTTGTGATCTTGTGAATCCAGCTCAATGTTCAGTTTAGAGCTGCAGCTATCGAATATTTTGGTAATCGAGTATTCTATCGAATATTCCATCGATTAATCGAGTAATCGGATAAAACAT